CAATGTAATATTCTCCTCGCTTCGTAGGCTCGCTCTGATGCGTATATCCCGAACCAGTTCGCCGTGATAAGTAGCTTTTTAAAATCCCCGCTCGGATAGGTTCAGACTCCTCATCCTGGAAACAATAAAATACTATCTTAACAAAGCATACAGAAGCAATAAACGATAGTTATGTTCCCTCCTCTCCACATAATATTACCTATACTCGTACAATGCTCATGACTGGACTTAGTAGTCTAGTTCACTAACTATCGTATCAATCACATAAATCATCTAAGAATATAATTAAATGCGTTTTTATCAAAACCTATGACCGATAATATACCTAATCTAATTTATTTTGTAAGTAAACATTGTGTAATAATGATAAACATTATAAATCTTTGTACTCATAATAAGGTGAGCATAGACTAGAGCATTTTTCTTGAGAATTTCTATGCCTAATGTAACGTTCTTAAGAATGGTGCAATACAGGTAAAATGAATGAGGTTTGGTTCGTGAAAAGATGAACATTATAACATTTTATAGACCGGATCGTTGTTCTGTTACAAGTAAATGCTCTAGTTTATACTCACCTTTAGAAACAATAAATTGACTCTGACGGCTTTCAAGACAATGAGAGTAATAATGTGCAAAGTAGACATGCGATCAAATAGAACCTAACATTTCATCACGTGAATGGTAATTTAAAATATTAAAATTAATTATGATTTGCTCACCTCAGAATCTGGAAAGACATTTAATTTTCGTTTCTTGCTGGTTGAAGCTGTGCTGACTGGCGGGAATGTATCAGCCTCAGATTCCGACTCGCTTCCGAATAGTTCAACAATTCGTTTCCTGGACTTAGGAGCTGTTGTTTTTGTCTTCGGTTTCTTAATAGCTGTTTTTTTCTTTTGCGAAGTCGGCTGTACTTCAGCGTCAGACTCAAAGGGATAGGAATACCTAAAATGTTACACAAAGTTATTAGAAGAAAAATAATCAATCTATAGAAACACTCATATGTAAACTTCTAAAGCGACAAATAACTTTACTGCTAGCTATGAAGGTTCAGCCAAACCAACATGTGCAGCTGGCGTGCACGATGGCGATGGCGATCAGACATGAAGGCAATGATCGCCATCGCAATCGCGCCCGCAGGCTGATCGCGTTGGTTTGCCCGAACCTTAACACATTAATTATTATTCTATTGTATTTAATGAGTGAGGAGCCTAAATGTTACGTACATACTTGCCGCCTTGATGATGATGAGCAGTTCCAAGTCTGTGGGATGTCACTAGGGTACACACTGTAACTAATGGTGCAACACCTCTCGACGTCCTATTTTATACCCCTAAATTATAAGACTATGCCCACCTACAAGTATTTTAATTTGTCATATTTTTAAGATAAATTAATATTTCATTTGATACTTTCAACATTGATTTGTATTTATATAACTCATAAGGAATATTATTGCTTGAAATATTAAAATTTTAGTTGCTTATTTATGAACACCGCTTTACTTAATTTTTTGGAGGCGACACTACACCGGCGCCTCACAGTCGCTGCAACTGGAGACGAAATTTTGTGAACGTCAGAATGGCGGGTGTATGGTCACAGAAATGATTAATATAAATATGATTTTTTAATACCTGAGGTGTACCTATATGTACCTTTAGTTATTAATTTTGTACTTCCCTAAAACGGGAACAATTTAAATTACAAAATGAGCCGCCAACCTGATATCAGGTTGGCGGGTGTATGCTGAAATTGGACGAAACAGGTAAGTTATGGTTTTCTTATATTTACCATTATTTAGTACCTCAAATGTACCTCACAAATATATTATTATAAACCAAATGCGACGAATAATTAACGAGAAAATCGATACAAAAAATTTGATGTCCACTATTTTTTTGATGACCACCATTTCTTTTAACAAGTTAAAAAGTTGATACTGACTCAGATAATACATACCGTAGTATTTTTGAGTGTGTTTTTATGGCACGCACAATAATTGCGCATTTTCTAATGCCATTAATTTGCTAAAATCGAAAAGTATTGATTGATAGTAGTGCCAAGTGCTCTGCTGTACCTATAGGTCTACCAGAATCTCATGGCAAACAAAAATATTGGAAAAGTGTGGCTTTCATAAGGAAATTTTCCAGGGCTTTATTGTCACCTGTCAAAACAAATTATAGATGACCCAAGTTGAACTGTCCCACCAAACTCAATGACAGGGGGGCGCTAAAATCGATCAATTAAATGGTTTCCAACATGGAAAAAATCGGAACCAGCGATCCAGTATTGACGGTGGCGCCTCATTGTCAATGTCATGGATAGGACAGTTCAGAATTTTGGAACTGTACGAGATTTGTCAACCACTGCAAAAGTTTTGTGAATCTTCATGATTATTTGTTATTTTTGTGGAAATATCGAAAAAAAAACTCAAGCGAGTTATTAATAATAATAATAAATCGTTGGACAATTTCACACAGCGCCAGCTAGCCCTAAAGTAAGCAACTTAATGCTTGTGTTATGGGTGCTAGCTTAACGGATATACAACTTTATATACTTTTTTAAGATACATACATATTATACATAGTAACACCCTGACCCGTCACAGAAATTAAAATTCATCGTTTAAATTTCTGCCCGGCCGGGAATAGAACCCGGGACCTCTCGGCATAGTAGTCCGTTCTGAACCACTACACCAAACAGCCGACTAAAATGCAAGTGGAGTTCTTAGAATCGTTTTCTAGTTTTTTTTATCCAGAACGAGGAAGCTCTGAATGAAGTGATAAGTTATAAGTATGATACATAATAAAATTAGATTTTCTGTTTTTTTTTTTTCGTCTTGTGTCTTTTTGTTATTTTTTTTTTCTTTCATCTTCTCATGTTTTATTTCTTTTTATTCTTCTTATCTTTCTTCTTATCATAAAGATATATATCAAGAAGAAGAAACAAGAAATAAATAAAAAACGAAGAAAAAAGAAATAATAATATACAGAAGATAACAAAAAGAAATAAGACAAAAAAAAACAAGAAGTGAAGACAGAAGAAGATAATAATAATAATGAGAAGAACCATGGGAAAAATAATAAGAATAGAAGACGAGGGAGAAGAGACAATAAAATTAGAAGAAGAAGACGAAGACGTCACGAATAATAGTTCCAATAGGCTAAATGACAAAATTTCAATTATTTGTCCGTCAGACAGATATTAGAATATTAGACTCATATTTTTTTATTAATGATATTTATTAATGGCATTGGAAAATGCACAATCTTTGTGCGTGCCATAAAAACACACTTAAAAATACTACGGTATGTATTATATTATCTGTCAGTATCAACTTTTTAACTTGTTAAAAGAAATGGTGGTCATCAAATAAATAGTGGACATCAAATTTTTCGTATTGATTTTCTCGTTAATTTATTCGTCGCATTTGGTTTATAATAAATATTTGTGAGGTACATTTGAGGTACTAAATAATGGTAAATATAAGAAAACCATAACTTACCCGTTTCGTCCAATTTCAGCATACACCCGCCAACCTGATATCAGGTTGGCGGCTCATTTTGTAATTTAAATTGTTCCCGTTTTAGGGAAGTACAAAATTAATAACTAAAGGTACATAAAGGTACACCTCAGGTATTAAAAAATCATATTTATATTAATCATTTCTGTGACCATACACCCGCCATTCTGACGTTCACGAAATTTTTATATGGTAAACGTATGTACTCATACTAATACTTAATGGGTCAACTTAAAGTGGTTGCTGTACTAATTTAATAGAGATCCATTATAAATGTATCTTTCTTCATAATTAATGGATTTTGTACAAAAAAATTTTTTTTTAATAGCTACTTTCAATCTTAAGCTGTTTTTATACTATTTGTAAATACTCACATAATTATCTAATTACTCATTTTCATAATCGTAAAAGTTTGAATGTTAAGATGTATTCGGATGTTTTTTACTCAATCATGCTAGAATGGCTGAACCGATATGAATGAAATTTCGTATAAAGATAGAATATAGTCTGAATAAAAAATACACACAAGCTACTTTTTACTGGAATTAATTATGAATGTGACAGTACTGAATTTTTAGGTGTTTGTTTCTCAATTGTGTTAGAACGGCTGAACAGATATAGGTGAAACTAAGGCATAGGGATAAAATATAGTTTAGAATGAAAATGGGAAAGTTTAAACCACCTGCGCTAGACCATGCGATGAACTTACGAACATGTAGGCATTCATATGGTTAGACAAAAAATCTGGACCTCTACTGGAGAGAATTTGAGCAAGTGACGCAGAAGCCCCAATTCTCTCCTACTGCTATGGCAGGTTATAGAGAAGACCGAAGAGTCTAACTTGCCTATATGCTTGACGTTTTTAGACATGAGAAGGTCTTTGAGCCTGGCTGAGCACGAGGGCGATTCCTCTGCAGCGAGCTGTGAGGCAGGGAGATGTAATAATACGTCGAATTCAACTCGGCTGGGCAGCGTTCGGGAAACTACATAACATCTTTTCGACTAAAACACCTCAGTGCCTAAAGACGTAAGTCTACAATCAGTGTGTGTTACCTGTAGTGATGACATACGGTTCGGAAACGTGGCCTCTTACTATAGGCCTTATAATAAGCTCAAAGTANATAATAATTGCTAAATAAAGTCATAAGTAAAGAGATTAATTTGTTTTATTTACTAAATCTATATTAATAAAATATTTAAGTGTTGCCTTAACCATATTACCATCGTTGATAAAGTGCAAACTGTTAGTTTCGTAATGTAGGATACAAATTTCCTTAGTAAGTAAATTTCGCAATAGGGTAGAAGTAATGGTTTCGGTCATCTTGGTACCGTTTTTGTCCATTATTATTTGATAATTTATCTTGAAATACCAATTTAGTCTTAACTATTAATAAATATTGTTTTANTACTTTCGCATTTATAATATTAGTTATTATTATTAAACTTACTTCAATTTTATGTTGCCAAAATAGTACAGTGACCACAAACGGTGCTTTTACCCTAATTACTTAGTCATCAAATTTTAGTTCACGTTGTATTTCCACGTGTCACGTAGGTCACTGACGTCAAAGTGCAAACTTGAAATTAATATAAATACAATAACTAAAATTTAATTTCTAACATTCACGTTGCATCGATCACTATTTGTGGCTACTTGTTGGTAAGTTAATTAATTATTATTTTTTCTATTTAAATCTGTTGTTATTTTTGTATGTCTTGTTATTTTTAAGACTCATGTCTATACAAAGCTGATTTCTTTTTTTACTTCTATAAATACAGTCCACATCAAGTCCCTGATAATCGATTTGTTATCAGGGACTTGATGTGGACTTGTGGTGGTGGATTGATTGGGGTGTNTCCACATCAAGTCCCTGATAACAATTTAATGCAGTTATAAAAATTTACTAATAAGTGTTTATTTTGTTTACAGATCAATATGTCTGACTCTTCGGAAATAATCTTCTCGCAATATGCACAAGACCCTCTGGAGAACTTTACGCAGCACTGCGAAGAACTGTTCGGTGTGCAGCCTGTTGAACCGAAGACAGAAAGAAAAGGGAGGTCTAAGAGAGATGCGAACAGTAAGAAGAAGGCGAACATCTCATCTAGATCATTTGTCATACGCAAAGATCGGAAGGGTTCAAAGCTGATCCAAATAAAGATTATAGACCTAACCAGAGACGCTGTATCGTTATCACAGACGCAACAGACTGATGTGGAAAGTGCGGACAATAACGTGGTACTCAGTGCTCAGTATGTGGTGCAAGAACCAAACACGGATGAAGTGTTAGATCTTACAGAAACGTTAGTTAGGAAAATATCTAAAGAACTCTGTGGTGATAGTTACTAGTGTAATAGATTGTAAGTTATTAGTTGTAAGTACTTGTATGTAGAATGTAAGTAATAATAAATAGACTAAGTTAATTGAAAATAATAATTAAATGGTAAAATAAATTTGTGTATATTAAATCTACTTGTTTCATTATGACTTTGTTTATTCCTCATACAACTTGCTTTGATACTGAAATAAAAGACAGTCAGTTTAAAATATCANGGGCACAGCTAGTCTTAAATAAAATTCATCGCGTTTTATCGTTCAAACAAAATGCCTTTTTAGCTAAATACATTAATCTTAATACAGAATTGAGAAAAAAAGCTACAACTCCTTTTCAACAAGATCTTTTCAAACTGTTAAATAACTCTGTTTTTGGAAAAACGTTAGAGGATAATGAACGTCGTGTTGATGTTAAATTAGTTAATCAATGGCGTGATGACTCAAATAAAACTAAAAAGCAACTAAGCGCTGATCGTGCGCAACTAAGCGCTGAAAGTGTGATCTAAACTTTTTTTTTGCTTTGATACTGAAATAAAAGACAGTCAGTTTAAAATATCAGTATTTATTTTAATAAAAACATTTAATATCGTTTTCTAAACACCATTTTTTTATACACAAAACATTTTTCAATGCACAATATTTCTTATGATTATAACAATTGAATAAATTGTCTTTACAATAAAGGTCATAAAGTGAGTTAAAATTAGGAATCTGTTGGCAAGTAATGTCTACAATATTATCATGATCACATAACTCTTTCACCCATTTAACTTTTTCTTCGCCCTTCACAATAATATTTCTGTCCTTAAAATAGGGTTTAATAATTCTTCTAAATTCTCTGTAGTCGACATAGCCTTCACTCCATCGATACCCTCTATTCTTTTCTAGCCAACGCACATTCTTTTTTTCTTCATCGGTTAAAGATGAGAATGGGTACGGTGGCTTAATTAAAAAGAGATAAGTAGACTCTTGATTCGCTATACATAACTCTTTTACTAAAAAGTCATTTTTATGATCTTTGAACCCTTGTAAATCAACTATAATTGTGTTACAATTCATGATATTTTTTTCACAATATTACTCAAAGGCTTGTATTCAAATATACAGTCGTTTAAAATTAAACAATATGCAGCTGTCTGATCCGGTATTTCTTGATCTGTTTCGATTTCAACTCTTACGTCAATCGATCCCTTCAAAGTTTCATGCTGCCGCGAACAGTCAATAATAAATAAAGGGGCTACGTCTTTAAATTCCTTTAAACTCATCAACGGCTCTGGTCGACGTCCGTAATAAGACTGTTGAAATCTTACGTATTGTTCGTATAATAAAGTAAATCTATCTTCTGAAAAACTTACATTCAAGCCTTCGTAAGGGTAATATGATGAATTTAAAAATACTCTTACATCTCGTACATGACAATGATCGAACTCTGCCATTGAAGATTCAGCCTTGTGTTTGCGATTGGTTTGCAAGGCAATTATAACATATCGGGGTTTCTCTATTTGTGACGATGTTTTAATGGACCAAGTATGTTTACGGGTTTTTGGTAACAAGGGATATTCATATAAGTCCCAATTCCGAAACGCAAGTGTTATAGCTCGATCTTTGTCTAAATGTTTTAATAAGTTAATTCTTTCCCGATCTGATACCTTAACGTGTGGAACGCGCCAAACAATTTTACTTATTATAATATCATCCACAACTTCACCTGAATTTAATTTTAAAGCATTGAGGTTTGTATTGCATCTCAACAAAACTAACTCATGTTTACAGTTAATTATAATTTTTTCATAGTCTTCTGCAAATCCCAATATTTTATTCAATGGTATAGAGACAGAGAATGCGCCATCGCCGACTTTGTTCGAACCTGTAGTCGACCAGCCCCAAGCTCTGGCGCTTTTGGATTCGTTTTCATTTAAAGAAAGATAGGACTTTATAGTTGTAGTAATACCTGCATTTTTAATTTTATCTATTTCCACTCCGTTAAGTTCGTATCGGATGTCTTGAAATAGAAATAATACTGGGTTATTAATGAAATGCACATTTGATACTTTTTCTTTTTTGTTATTCAAAACATTCACTTTACCCTCAATGTATAAAGTGCTGAGTGAAGGCAGCACGTATAAATCTTGTTGATTTATAGGTATACGTATTTCATCATTCTTGTTAAAACTTGTCACATATGGTTTGTATGAGTGATATTCAAAACTTTCAATACTATTGTTGAACGAGGCCTGTTGAGCTATATTTAAAATATTCATTTTAGTAAGCCCACTAATCGAAGAAATTCTTTATTATTTTTTGTTAACTTCTTTTTAAGCTGGAGCGGTGCGCCTTTCTGTAAAGCTCTTTTTGAAGTGACTTGAATACATGGTGCAGAAGGGTTTTTATTGAAATCAATCATTTTTTCCTGAAATGAAGGTACAGTTGAACTTCTTCACCGCGTAAATTTATCTGTTTATTTTCAGCGTCCAACAATCTTATATTGATAGCACTAATTGAACTTTGATTAACTGGGAAATATATTAAGTTCTATCAGAACTTGTGTTTCTTTAATGAAAAGACCGATAGTTAGCGAGATAAGCATTTATTATTCGGGTTCTTACACAGACACATCTTGATCGTACATAGCCGGAAGAGGGAAGAGCGTTCTACCGGAAACAGTTAATTTTTTAATATTTTATACACTTCCAAAGATAATATAATCCTAACACTCCCTCTCAATTACAAGTTAGGCTTTAACTTTTAATTGCAAAACAAAATAATTTTTAACTACTACTAAAAACTTCTAATTANGCGGTGCGCCTTTCTGTAGAGCTCTTTTTGAAGTGACTTGAATACATGGTGCAGAAGGGTTTTTATTGAAATCAATCATTTTTTCCTGAAATGAAGGTACAGTTGAACTTCTTCACCGCGTAAATTTATCTGTTTATTTTCAGCGTCCAACAATCTTATATTGATAGCACTAATTGAACTTTGATTAACTGGGAAATATATTAGGTTCTTGGGTATTTCTATAATTCTGTATCCAGGTGGTACATTTGGTACAAATTCGTAGATAATATGACTTGCTTTTCCGTTGACAAATGAACCACTAACTACATCACATTCGATTCGCACGATGGTTGTTGATAAAATGCTGACCGGATACTGAGATTCAGTACTTATATTTGCAAAGATAGTTTCCGAACCAAAGCCCAAAATTTTACCAAGTGATTCACTTTTGTTGAAGTGAACATCTTTAGAACATAAAATATTTGTCTTCAATGTATTGTTATTACAAGTCAATCTTAGTACAGTGTTTTTAATATTACTTTTCAAATAATCACAAATATCCTGGAGTTCATAAGACCCTTCAGGAATTTCAATGACTTCATTTTCGCCATAGTAGAATTTATTGTTTCTTTCATCAATATTAGGAATAGAGTTAAATGTTGAAAAATATAAAAGACCACATTCATAGTCTCCACGTAATTCCAATGTTGGTGAATAGTTAGTAGTTAAAGAGGCTCCGCTACCAGTTATAGACACAGTGAAAGACATTGTTATACTGACAATTTTATTTATTTCTTACATCATATAAATGCTTTTTCCAATACCCTCTTAAAAATTTTAAACAAAGATGGCCACAGTTTGTAGTACCAAATGTTTGATAAGGAACATAGTTATAGTTTATACTAAAGTTGTGTAAATATTGAATCAATTCTAATGGAGGCTTCAAATTTCCAAAACTGTCAAAATATTCAGCATAATTGTTTTGCTTTACATATGCTACCCAGTGAGTTCCAGGATTTCTGGAGCTATCCAAATTTAATATCCCGCATTCAATTTTTTGGGGTTTTGAAGGTAATTTATCCCTCATGAAAACTCCTCGGAAATATGGAATGTCAATAGCGTGTTCTATTATATCCAGATTAGTGAGAGCACGCCTGGGTAGCCGCTTTATTAGTTTTTTGAGGTGTTCAAATACAAGCCTGCTCCGTTTTTAAGAGGTTTAAGGTACAATCCTTTTCCAAGGGCTACGGCCTCCATCATTCTGTTATGTCGTTCAGATTCCTGAAGACTTTTCTGTGCAGCCTTAGAATCATTAACAGCCTTTGCAATTCCTGCCGCTCCGCCAGCCAGTGAACGCAAAGCTGACAATCCCGCAAAAATGGGTATTAGCGGTAATAGTCCTCCAGTCTTTGGGATAGGAATACAGCGTGGTAAACGTATTCCTCTTTTATTCGTAAATAGTTTTTTGCAGCAGCATAGGCATGTTTTATAATGGAGTGTTTATTTTTAGATTTTATTTATTTATTTATTTTATTTTTATTTTTCTTTATTCAGAAAACCACAGCTCTAACTTTTTCAAATGAGAGTGTATTTTCTTCACACCTGACATAAATAATTTTACACTACCACCAGCTCTAAGTTTAGCTTTCATTGCATTTTTTACTATCCATGAAGCAATTTTTTCTCCTTTTCCTGAATCTTTTGATTTTAATCTCTTCTTGGCCATTTTTAGAAGTTCTAAGTCAGCTTGATGTCTTATATTTGAATCACTATTATTATAAGCGATATCGTGATACAAACATGCAAAATTCAAAATTCAAAATACGTTTATTGTGAACCACAGGTACATAGGTTGTCAAATTATAAATGGATATAGATCGGCTGCGTTCCGCCTTGAAGGCATACAATAGTTAGTGCTTAATTCTAGGGTTCAAGTTTATGCTGAAGGTTAGGTGCAAACATAATAAATAAAATAAAAAGCTTTTATTTCCACAAGTTTACAATTTTATAAATTAAGTTAGAAGCATTTGTCTTCACTCTTGTGGCACCCCTGTATGGGCAAAAGCCTCCTCTNGTATAATTCTATTACTTAAGCACTGAGGCAACCTGAAAATAGTTACTGTATGTAGATAATAATTTAAGTTACATAGTGATATTGCGTTGTTAAAGTCTTTATTTTTAAAAGTTATTATAGTAATACTTCTTATTATTGAAAATAATCTAGAAACTCAAATAAACAAACCTACTTCTGCAATTGAACAGTAATCTTTATTTTTTCATTAATCGATCATTTAACCAGAAATAAGTTATAATCATTCAATAATGGTATCTCGGCCGTCTTGGATG